AAATGGACAAAAACTGGAAGCATTCCCTTTGAAAACTGGCACAAGACAGGGATGCCCTCTCTCACCACTCCTATTCAACATAGTGTTGGAAGTTCTGGCTAGGGCAATCAGGCAGGAGAAAGAAATCAAGGGTATTCACTTAGGAAAAGAGGAAGTCGAACTGTCCTTGTTTGCAGATGACATGATTGTATATTTAGAAAACCCCATTGTCTCAGCCCAAAATCTCCTTAAGCTGATAAGCAACTTCAGCAAAGTCTCAGGATACAAAATTAATGTGCAAAAATCACAAGCATTCTTATACACCAGTAACAGACAAACAGAGAGCCAAATCATGAATGAACTTCCATTCACAATTGCTTCAAAGAGAATAAAATACCTAGAAATACAACTTAAAAGGGATGTGAAGGACCTCTTCAAGAACTACAAACCACTACTCAATGAAATAAAAGAGGACACAAACAAATGGAAGAACATACCATGCTCATGGATAGGAAGAATCAACATTGTGAAAATGGCCATGCTGCCCAAGGTAATTTATACATTCAATGCTATTCCCATCAAGCTACCAATGAGTTTCTTCACAGAATTGGAAAAAACCATTTTAAAGTTCATATGGAACCAAAAAAGAGCCCACATTGCCAAGACAATCCTAAGCCAAAAGAATAAAGCTGGAGGCATCACGCTACCTGACTTCAAACTATACTACAAGGCTACAGTAACAAAAACAGCATGGTACTGGTACCAAAACAGAGATATAGACCAATGGAACAGAACAGAGCCGTCAGAAATAATACCACACATCTACAACCATCTGATCTCTGACAAACCTGACAAAAACAAGCAATGGGGAAAGGATTCCCTATTTAATAAATGGTGCTGGAAAACTGGGTAGCCATATGTAGAAGGCTGAAACTGGATCCCTTTCTTACACCTTATACAAAAATTAATTCAAGATAGATTAAAGACTTAAATGTTAGATGTAAAACCATAAAAACCCCAGAAGAAAACCTAGGCAATACCATTCAGGACATAGGCATGGGCAAGGACTTCATGTCTAAAACCCCAAAAGCAATGGCAGCAAAAGCCAAAATTGACAAATGGCATCTAATTAAACTAAAGAGCTTCTGCACAGCAAAAGAAACTACCATCAGAGTGAACAGGCAACCTACAGAATGGGAGAAAATTTTTGCAATCTACTCATCTGACAAAGGGCTAATATCCAGAACCTACAAAGAACTCAAACAAATTTACAAGAAAAAATCAAACAACCCCATCAAAAAGTGGGCAAAGGATATGAACAGACACTTCTCAAAACTTCTTTATGCAGCCAACAGACACATGAAAAAATGCTCATCATCACTAGCCATCAGAGAAATGCAAATCAAAACCACCATGAGATACCATCTCACACCAGTTAGAATGGCAATCATTAAAAAGTCAGGAAACAAAAGGTGCTGGAGAGGATGTGGACAAACAGGAACACTTTTACACTGTTGGTGGGACTGTAAACTAGTTCAACCATTTTGGAAGACAGTGTGGTGATTCCTCAAGGATCTAGAACTAGAAATACCATTAGACCCAGCCATCCCATTACTGGGTATATACCCAAAGGATTATAAATCATGCTGCTATAAAGACACATGCACACGTATGTTTATTGCGGCACTATTCACAATAGCAAAGACTTGGAACCAACCCAAATATCCATTAATGATAGACTGCATTAAGAAAATGTGGCACATATACACCATGGAATACTATGCAGCCATAAAAAAGGATGAGTTCATGTCCTTTGCAGGGACATGGATGCAGCTGGAAACCATCATTCTCAGCAAACTATCGCAAGGACCGAAAACCAAACGCCACATGTTCTCACTCATAGGTGGGAATTGAACAATGAGAACACTTGGACACAGGAAGGGGAACATCACACACCAGGGCCTATTGTGGGGAGAGGGGAGGTGGGAGGGATAGCATTAGGAGATATACCTAATGTAAATGACAAGTTGATGGGTGCAGCACACCAACATGGCACATGTATACATATGTAACAAACCTGCACGTTGTGCACATGTACCCTAGAACTTAAAGTGTAATAAAAAAAAGAAAAAAAATTTTTTGTAATAAGTAAGAGATAAGCAATATGATCCTGCCCTGCCCAAATGGAGGGCGGGGTGGACTTGGGAGAAGGAAGGGACAACAGAACCACGGCATTTGATGTAAACGTGCCCAGGAAACTTGTAAAGATATGACGCTGGTGGCTGTTAATGCACCCAAAGTACCTGCAAGTGGCACTGAGGCTCTCAGCCTTAGCTACCCAGTAGGATCAGCCAGGGAGCTTCAAAAGAGACACCCAGGCCCAGACCCTCCACATCGACAGCTGAAGCCCGCTCTCCAGGAAGGAGGCCTGGGCCCCAGGAGATTCCAACATGTCCTCAAAGTTGAAACCAACTGGTACAGCAAACTCTCAACAAGTAACAGCAACTACTCATTATTCAATGTTAATTTATAGCCAGCATAATTACCATTTTAATGGTTGTATATAATGAATTCCATCATGTTTATAGACCATTATTTACTAAGCTGCTTCTGGAAATTTAGATCACTTTCAATTGTTTATTATGATATGATGCAGATCTGCCAGAATATATTCTTTGCCTTTCTTGGGTATTTGCTGAAGAGCAATTCGTAGGAGGTGGAATTCTTGAGCATGAACATCTTGAAAACCACAGAGATTTTAGACCTTGGTGGTGATGTAGTGAGACACCTGCATTTTACTATTAGGCATGCAGTAAAACTTTCAATTCCATATTGGAAAAAAGCTGAAGCTTCAAGAAACAAAGCATTTCAGGTGGAGGGTACTTTCAACCTCTGTTTCTGGCTGTTTTCACCTCTTTAATCTTCCCTTTAGGCTCAAAAGAAAACAGGCAGAGAGAGGGGGGCTAGATTTCCTGCAGAGAGAGAGAAAAAAGAGAGAGAGAGAGAAAGAAAGAGAAAGATGCTGGCGGTGGGAATTCACTTCCTACCCACGCGAGCAAGTCTGCTGGGTGGGTGCACAGCATCTGCCAGCAAATCCCCAGGCAGAGGGCTGTCCGGGAGTGCAGGGGAGGAGTTGGGACCAGCCCCCACCTTGCAAGCAGCCCAGCTCTAGGAGATTCCTCTGGGCAGAAGATTAAAAACAAATGTTTGATGCTATTCATGGAGCACATGCCTCATGTTTTATTCTCTTTTCTCCACACTGCCCTGGATCCTCCGCTGCTCTGGACATCTTAAGGTCTGAGGCAGAGACCTGTGTGACAGCACAATTGCGGAAAAAGAAGGTTTCTCCGATCAGAGAGGCTTCATGGGAAATTCTCTTTCTTGAAAGCACTCTTAGATGTCCTCTTCCCTTTTACTCAACAGAGAGCCAAAATGCTTGTGATCTGGCAAAGGAAGGTGAATGAGGCAGAATCACTGCCCAGAAAGATCTTTGCAGAGAGGGACATAACTCTCCATGCTGAAAAAGGCCAGGCCTAACCTGCTCAGCCTCACCTCCCTCCCTGCCCTCACAGACGCCCTCGGCTGGGTGAGGGCCTGGCCTTGTTGCTCAGAACTTCCAGACCAGCCTCTTTTTTGCCCCCTCCTGGTTACATTCCCCAGGTTGCCCATCTGAAGAATGATCTGTGCTTCTCTCTGACTTGACTCAGAGGCTGAATGACAAAGCCATCTTCTTACCACTTCGACAACGTAAGTTCATCGGCACGCTTCTGAACGCACTACAGACCCCAGTCTTCCTTCCTCGCTCTTTTCTTCCAGTTCCAGCGGTGAGTTTCACTTTCTCCTCTTTTGCAGCTTTAAGAATAAGGTCTACTCCTCAAGGGCCGAAGTTAACTGCCACTGATCCAGTATATTCCTGTTCATGGAAGGGGCAGACCTGCCCATCCCACAGTAGGGTAACTACTTCCAGTTCCTCAGTCATTCTGGAATTAGAGCCACAGCCAGGAAGTGGGAGTTGCCTGGCCTTCCCCCAGCTTCACATCCACTCGTCCCAGTCTGTTTCCTTGAGGAAAGATCAGAATGATCATCCAGTCCATAACAACACCCTCTTGTTATGGAAGGAAGTGCTTCCTGAGGTCACCTGACCCGAGAGTTAGGAGGAGGATGACCTTTGGGCTCTCAGGACTCAACCCAGTGCGTCCATTCCGTGACCACACAGGGGAGCCTCCCACTGTGAGCAGACTGCAGTGACCAGGGAGAGGCGCAGAGGCTGTCCTGGACACGGCTGCTGAGACGCTGCTGAGACACCCTGAGGGGACACAGGTGCCTTCCTCGTCAAGATGCTGCCGGTCGTGTTCTGCGTTCTCTTACTTAAAGGTGAATGCATCACCAGTAGCAAAGGGGAGCAGGGGCAACCCTGGGGAATGTGTGTGTAGTCTGAGATACTACGTTTAGAGGATCTTGTCCATACAGTGGCTAGAAACAGAGTGGGAATGGGTATGGGTAGGGGCAGAGAACTAGTCTGAAGAGACTGAAAACAAAAACAAAAACAAACTACTGAATATAGATTTAATTAACAAGCAAACATTGTACTTTGAGTGATGGGCAGATGTAGATGAGAAAGGGAGGGAAAAAAAGAGAAGAAAGAAGTAGGATTCAGTAATGAGCAAAATATGTTAGTGGCTGTGTGTGCGGGTGTGTGCGTGGATGAATGGCGTGACACGGGTCAGCAGGAAGCTGCAATTCAGACCTGGCGATGAGGACATCTGGTCCTTGTCTTGAACATCACCTGGGCCTATGGGTGAGCTGGGGCAGACAGTTCTCAGTGATGTAAGAAGAGGGCCCTGTGTGGCCCTAGGCACAGCCCTTCAGCACTGGGTGAGCTGGGGCAGACAGTCCTCAACCATGTACGAAGAGGGCCCTGTGTGGCCCGAGGCACAGCCCTTCAGCACAGCAGGAAGATGAGGAGGGCTTCCCCTCACATTACCATACCCCCAAAAAGTTACAATAAATTTCTGACAAACCAGAGCAATTGTTGCTAGTAGCTGTGTGTGTGTCTCCCTTCTCCTACTGCTCCCATCTGTCACACATGCGCATGTCAGAGAGGACAATTTTGGTTTAATTTCCTGCAGCAGCATATAAAACAGATTAAGGAAATATAAAATTGGAGCAGGCTGGTGTTGGGAAAAGCTTATCTCTTTCCATTAAATTTTATTTTTTTAATGGTAGCATTTAAAAAGAGCCTGCACATAATCTTTCACAGAGCACTCACTTGAAGCCTCCAAGGAGGGTGCCTGCTGCACCCACATCCAGACTCTAAATGTCACACGAGAAGAGCAGCATAGATTGTCTGCCACATGACAGGCATACAGTTAACTCAGTAATAGAGAAAGAGTCCCCAGACTTGATTTCAATTTCATCACATCTGCTTTTCTTTAAGTAATTTTAGAATTGTGGTCATATATTAAATAAAATGAATATCAAATCATAACATTGGAAACAATATACCTTTCCTATTAATTTTAATATGAATATATTAAGCTTATCAAGGATCTCAAACAGTTTCTACCGTGAGCTTGAGGAATCCAGTAAGTGACTTCCCAAGTATGATTTAAATATGGATATAAAATCAGAGAAAGAAATGTATGCATGATAAGAACCCCTAGAATCAAATCACAACAGGAAAAAATACAGCAGATTTCCTTATTCTGCCCATCTCAGAATGAAAGAAAAGCAGAGATGGCCAGATGCGGTGGCTCGCGCCTGTAATCCCAGCACTTTGGGAGGCCAAGACGGGCGGATCACGAGGTCAGGAGACTGAGACCATCCTGGTTAACACGGTGAAACCCTGTCTCTACTAAAAAAAAATACAAAAAACTAGCCAGGCGAGGTGACGGGCACCTGTAGTCCCAGCTACTTGGGAGGCTGAGGCTGGAGAATGGCATAAACCCGGGAGGTGGAGCTTGCAGTGAGCTGAGATCCGGCCACTGTACGCCAGCCTGGGCAACAGAGCGAGACTTCGTTTCAAAAAATAAAATAAAATAAAATAATAAAAATAATAATAATAAAAAGAAAAGCAGAGGGTGGGGCACAGGGAGGAGGAAGCTGGTCTGGGGCATTCAAAGGAGGAAATGCAAGAAGCAAGAGGTACAACACGTTAAGCAGCTCTGGAGGCACAAAAAGCCCTTTGCAAGGACAGCAGAGAATCCCAAAGACTTTGATGACCCACCTCAGCTCAGCAGCACCCCTGGAGACCCCACTCTACTCTACACCTTGGATAACCCTCCAAGTGTACATTCTGCTGGAGAAATCTGTCCTCTTGGGAGGCAGAATTTCCTTAGAGATAACATCTACCCATTCATTCACTCAATACTGTCTGAGCAGCTGTAATGAATAAAACGTGGCCCTTGCCCTGGGAGAAGCTCTGGCATAGTCAGAGGGACAGAAAGTAAATACCAGATCATTACAGTGGAACAGTGTGTGTTCAAGAGAGATGCAAAGTGCTGGGGCACCCAGAGGAGGGAGGAACCAGGTGGCCCACGGGACCCTCAGGAGGGGTTACAGATGTGGTGAGCTCAGGTCTGTGCTTTCCAGTGGTAGTAACCATTCAGAAGAAGCACTGCTGTTGTGCCACTGTTCAATCAATCAATCAATCAATCTTTATTAAGCCCTGAGAGACCCTGAAGAAGTTATGTTTCCTCAGCTAAATAATAAGACTGGACAAGATAAATTCTAAGAGCAACCCAAGTCCCAATGTGTTGTACAATGTGCTGTGCCAGACACAGAGCTAGAAGGTGTGGATTTGGTTTTGTTTACAAATATTGCTACTGATTTCTAATTTAATTCCATTGTGGTCAGATAATTTACTATGTATTAACTTGAATGTTTTTATGTTTATTGAGAATCTGTTTTATGGCATGAAAATGGTCTCTTTTTGTACTATAGTTACTTTAAAAATGTGCATTGTTATTGTTGGGTAAAGTGTTTTCTAAATGTCAGATCCCGCTGGTTGATGGTGTTACGGAATTATTTTGTATCCTTGCTGAATTTCTGTCTAGTCGTTCTACCAACTATTGACAGAGGAGGTTTGATGTTCCCAGCTGTGCTTATCTGTCCATTTCTCCTTTCAGTTCTATCAGTTTTTGTTTCTCAAGTTTTGTAACTGTGTTATTTGGTACATACATATTTAGTACTGCTATGTCTTTTGGTAGACTGGCCTTTTTTCCATTATACAATGTCCCTCTGTCTCTCATAACATTTTCTTTGCTCTGAAGTCTACTTTACTTAATATTGACATAGCTACTCCAGGTTTCTTGTGATTCTGTTTTTATAATATATTTTTTCCATCCTTTTGCTTTCAACCTATTTGTATAATTCTATTTAAAAAGAATTCTTACAGACAACATATGCTTGGGTCATGTGTTAAAAATCTTTTCTACTAATCTCTGTCTTTTAATTGGTGTATTTAGGCAATTTACACCTTTTACATAGACCACTTACATAATTTACAATGTTATTAATATAGTAGGGCTTAAATCTGCCATTTAATTTTTTGTTTTTCATTTGCTCTCTTTTTGTTTGTTTCTTTTTCCTGCATTCCTGTGGGTTAAACTTTTTTTAGAATTTCATTGCTTTTGAGTGTATTACTTTATATAGTTTTGTGGTTACTCCAGGTCTTATTATTTACATATATTATATATATATATACACACACACTATATATACACATAACTTGTATATAATATACCTACGTATGTATATATGTATATATACACATATATATGTATATACCTTATCATAGTTTACTAGTGTCATTTTACCAGTTGAACTCAAGTGTACAAACCTTACTTTCCTTTACATTTTACCCTCCCCCACTCCCCCATTTGGAATACAATTGCCCTAAATATTTCTACTACATACATTTAGAATCATATCAGATAGTGTATAATTTTTGCTTCAACTATCAAACAATCTAGAAAACTCAAAGGGAGAAGGAAAGATCATTTTACTTACCCACATTTTTGCTGACCATGTTCTTTCTTCTTTCCTGACGTTCCAAGAGCCTTCTTTTATCATTTTCTTTCTGTTTAGAGAATTTCTTTAGCCATTCTTTTACAGTAAGTCTGCTAGTGATAAGTTCTTTTAGTTTTCCTTCATCTGAAAATGTCTTGATTTCTTCTTCATTCCTGAAGGGTATTTTTGCTGGACAAGATAAATTCTAAGGGCAACCCAAGTTTTGGGTTATCAGCTCTTTTCTTTCAGTAGTTGAAAAAAATATGCTACTTTCATCTGGTTTCTGTGGTTTCTGATGAGAAAAATCACTGTCATTCAAATTGTTTTTCCTGTACAGGTAAGTTGTCATTTTTCTTTTGCTGCTTTTAGGACTTATTTTGTGTGTGTGTGTGTGTGTTTAGTTTTCAGAAGTTTGAGTATGATCCACAGTCTTGGTGTGAACTGCTTTTGGTTTATACTGTTTGGGGTTCACTTAGCTTCTTGAATCTACAGGTTTATGTCTCCTGCCAAATTTGGAGAGTTTTCCACTATTAATTCTTTTCTTAAAAAACAATGTGGCAAAGTACACAAAACACTAATAGTTATCATTTTAACTATTTTTAACTCTTGAGTAGCATTAAGTACATTCACATTGTTGTGTAACCATTACTACTATCCATAACTTTTGCATCATGCTGTACCAAAACTGTGTACCCATTAAACAATAACTTCCCATCCCCTCCTCCCTTCGAACTCTGGTAACCACTGTTCTACTTCGGTCTCTAGGTATTTGACTGTTCTAGGTACCTCATATAAGTGGAATAATATGATATTTGTTCTTCTCTGTCAGGCTTATTTCACTTTGCATAATGCCTTCAAGGTTCATTTATGTGTAGCATGTGTCATAATTTTATTCCTTAAGGTTGAATAATATTCCATTGTATGTATATATCCCATTCTATGGGTTGCTTTTTATTCTGTTGATGGTATCCTTTGATGCCCAAAAGTTTTTAATTTTACCAGTTTGGTGAAGTCCAATTTGTTTATATTTTCTTTTGTAGACTGTACCTTTGGTGCCATATCCAAGAAATCATTACTATGTCCAATGTCATGAGGCTTTTTCCTTAATGTGTTCTTCTAAGAGTCTAGTAGAAGCTTTTGATCTTACGTTTAGGTCTTTGATCCTTTATATGGTGTTAGGTAAGGGCCTAACTTTACTCTTTTGCATGTGGATATACAGTTTCCCCAACACTATTTGTTTTACTTTATATGGTGTTAGGTAAGGGCCTAACTTTACTCTTTTGCATGTGGATATACAGTTTCCCCAACACTATTTGTTGAAGACACTGTACTTTTTCCATTGAGTGGTCTTGGCATCCATGTTGAAAATCACTTGACCATATATGCGAGGGTTTATTTCTGGGCTCTCTATTTTATTCCATTGATCTATATGTCCATCTACGCCAGTATCACTCTGTTTTGACTACTGTAGCTTTCTCATAAATTTTAAAATCAAGAACGGTGAGTTCTCCATGTTTGTTCTTCTTTTTCAAGACTGCTTTTGGCTATTTGGAATTCCTTGAGGTTCCATATATATTTCAAGATGTATTTTTCTATTTCTTCCCCAAAAAAGCCATTGGGATTTTGATAGAGATTGCATTGAATCTGAAGATCATTTTGGGTAATATTGACATCTTAATAATACTAAGTCTTCCAACCTATGAACATGAGATGTAATTCTCCTTATTTATGCCTTCTTCATGGAGAATAATTGAGTATGTTACTCAGTTTTGTGTTATTGCAAATGGCATTATTCTCTTAATTTTGTTTTCGAATTGTTGATTTTTCATGTTTAGAAATATAACTGATTTTTGTGAGCCAAGATTGCACCACTGCACTCCAGCCTGGGTGACAGAGCGAGATTCTGTCTCAAAAAAAAAAAAAAAAAAAGAAAAGAAAAGAAATACAACTGATTTTTGTGTGTTGATTTGTATCCTGCTACCTTGCTTAATTCACTTATTAGTTGTAACATTTTTGGGGGTGTGTGTGTAATCTATAGAGCTTTCTCCATATGAGATCATATTATCTGTATATAGAGATAATTTTATTTCATCCTTTCCAATTTGGATGCCTC